TAGCATGTGCCGGTAGAGAAACTACCGGCACATGCTTTATTTTCGTGCCAGCATGTCGAATATCATGAGATGAATTAGTTTATCGCCCTAATGAATAAAATGAAGAAACTGCTTCACATGTCAAATTGTCCATAATTAAAGAATCTGTAATAACTTCGTCAATGCCTGCAGTCAAGCGTTTCTGTTAGGGACACTTTTTTCATTTCGATTCATTTGTTGAAACACGTACATGACCCGTGGCATCGGGTGTTGCACTGGGTATTATTGGCAACGCTCTCGCACCTATTTGTTCGTGTGTGTGTTTAAAAATTTTTTTTATGCATCGCTCGCAGAGGCGTATTTTACGGGGGGTGCCCCTGGGACGAGTCTGGCGCCCTCCTAGAGTTAATAGTTTTCTCCCTTGATATCGCTCGGTTTGGATTTGGCGTCCCCGCTCTGTTACCTGTTGGTTCTGTTGCTCTCTGAGATGAGCCTCTCGTACCCATCGAGAACAATGGGTTGTGGGAGACTTGGTCTTCTCGTCGAGCTCCGACAATAATCGAACTGGGTTTTCGTACCATTTATCACGGATTTGAATTCGGAACTATCAGACGAGAACCACTAGAGCCGTTGAAGAACGGAAACGTTCACTCTCACTTGTATCGCACTGAAAAAGGCAAGAGAATAAGGCTGTCAGTGAGAGGGAAAGGATGAAGCCAGGTTAGAAGAGTAGAAAAGGTTGGGCTACATCCCAGCGGGATGGGGAGAGAGAGCCAATCACGTCACTGGTATACATTCTCCTCGGCTGACTGATAAAGGGTGACATGCACCGAATCCGTTTAAGTTAAACTAATCTGATCTCACAATGGTTCCCTATGGGAATCAGTTTACCCGAGGCAAACGTATTCCCATAGACGCCCATTATGAAACGAATTAGTTTAAAGTTAAACGGATCTGGTGCATGTCACCCAAAATCTCCTTTTTCAAGTCTATTTCTCCTCTGTTAAAAATGTCATATCGGTTAGTTTTTCCTTGCCATATTACCTTGCTCTTTGCACCTCCCTTCTATTGCGCTCGAACGATTGCATATCTAGATTGTGGCGCTGCCAGGTTCATAGCATTCGCAGATGCCGGTCCTACGTTCAGTCGCCGCCTGCAAGAACATCTGATTTGGGGATACAGCAACGCAGAACGAGGAAGATTGACGATGAACGCATATTTTCATTGCCATTTCAAAAGGGCAAATGACACGTTAACGATTTCCGTAAATAATAGGGTAATCGTATGAGGTGTGACCTACCAGTATATTCTCACTACAGTCGCATCCCTTTCAAACTTTTTCGTACGGAATCCTCCCCGCCCCATTCTCATTCGATGCATTCCCTTCCTCAATTTAAGGGATATATTTTTTAAATGTGTGATTGGTTACGAAATGTGGACATTATGCTTCAAATAATATTATTACATTGGAGGAAAACCAATGACGAGAATGGAGCAGTCGGGGCAGGCGTATATCAGTGACGTAATTTGCCCTAGGGCTAGAACCGCCATTATTCGGTGCTTCGCTTTCGATCCAACCTCAACCACTCTTCTAACCTGGGGATGAAGGCACCCCCCTTATCGTTTCCCAAGGCTAGGCGCCACCACCTGGATTCTTCATTTTAAAAATCGTCAGACTGTATATCCATAGGGGTCTAGATATCCCTCCTGAACTTGCACAAAAGTCCATCGTGTGGGTTAACTTGCACGAGAAAGAATGTATGTAAGTTAACATGCATAGAGGAGATCAGACTGGTTCAAGTTGCACGGTATATTTAATGCAAGGTCGACTTGCCTACGACACATGCGAGACGGGTTCTAAAATAAATTTCGCTCAGAACTACAGGCCTTGTCTTATTTTCCGATCGTCCCTCGTATCGAGACGGAGATGGTTAACACCTATTGATGATACGTCAAAGAAATTAGACCAGCGGTTCCCAGACTTCTTTGAATCGCGACCCACTTGCTGACGTTCAGAAAATTTCGCAACCCACCGAAATCCAGAACGAGATATTTTCAAAGTAATTACGACGTGAAGAAAACCGATCGAACTCATCTGCAGGGCATGTTTCCACATCCGAGCGGATGTGGATAGAGTGATTACTTATGCTGGGAAAATGTACGTAACCCACCTTGATGCCTCTCGCGACCCACATTTTGGGAACCGCTGCATTCGACGCGTCGTTTAGTGCAGACAGACGGAATCGAGAGAACTCTTTCGCGCGTTCCACTCCACCTTCATCCTGATGGAGGAGCCGGATTTCGCCGGTCGACTCCGATCCGTTCTGAAAATCCATCGCGATGAGATCTCACCCGAAAGAAGCGGGAATCTTTCACATTCACACCGAGGAGCGACAGGAAAGGCAAGGAACGTCCTTCTGAATCCGACAGGACCCAAGCGTAGGACTCCTTCGAAACCTGCCTCGGGGCTAGGAAGACGAAGGATGGGAAGGGGATGGGCGACGAGAACGGCTGCGAATCTCGACGATACTCGGATTCCGTAGCCGAGCGGTTCGGACTTCCGAGTCGAACCCGGGAAGCGAAGGATCGAGTCCGAGCGACGGGCGCGCTCTTTTCCCGCAGACGGACCGACCACCTGGTTTCTGGGGAGAAGTTCATCTGCTCGATCGTTCTGTTTCCCACGCCGAGTAGTGACGCGTACGATCCGCGATGAAATTCACTCGTTCGAATCGTGGGTCGAAGAAGCCAGTGGGCTGCCCTTGCTCGTAAGACATCCTTCGAGAACGCAGCGGGGCGTCCCTGCACGAGAGCATGCCAGGTGGTGTCGATGCCGAGCGGGCAAACCTATCATCTCTGCATGCCGTAACTGAAAACTGCCGTCCTCCCCTCCCGCCCGATGTGTAACTTAAAAAGAAAGCACGAAGATATTCTCTGCACCCAAATGCTGTCTGCTCCAGTGTCCCATCTTCCTCGTACATTTTTCGTACGAAAATCATGCGTCGATTAAATCGTTAAGTGTGGCATCGAACCGTAACGATAAGGATCGGGAATGGAAGTCTTTTCCTGGCACCTTTAAAAAAGGCCTCACGATGCACCGAGGAACTTACTATAGTGAAGAAACCGTTCCATTGCCAGACGTACCATACCTTGCTCGTGGGGTCATTCCATAGAATGCGATCGATATTAATACTACTGTACGTATGATATGGCGCCCGACGTCTCAGGTATTGTGCTAAAAGTTTTCAGCGATTGCAGTCGACCTAAAAACCCCGTAAAATAATATATTTCTCGTCGGATCTGCGACGATATCGCCCCCCGAACTTTGGGAAAAAACGGGAAAACCCCACGGACAGCTAAATTTCCATCTCGGGAACCGTTCATCGTACGGATAAGTACGACAGCTACAACCGGAGCTCCTTAACGAGCGGACGCTTCACTCCACGCACCCTCAGAGATTCCATGGGATTTCAACACCACGAGTGAGTTGGAAAATTCGAAACGTAGACACTTTGGATCCCCGAATATCCCTATTTGGCGAGGAAAAATACAATACCCTCGTAACGGTAAGTTGCACTCCCATTTCAGGGGAAATCGATGAAGTAAGTCACTGGCGTTACTCTTTGTCCGCTAAATAGAGAATAGTTCACCCAAAATGTGAAATTTTCTCATTTTTGACCATCATCGGTCGAGTATTTCTGAACCTGGTGGAGCATTTACGATATCGAGGGTGTCATCGGTAAGGTGAGCTTCGGACCTTTCCATCGACATGTGATTTGTTGCGCCTTTTTCGAAAAGTTTTTTTTTTGTCAAAAGTTTCATATTCCGGTTGCATGGTGCATTTTGTGTACGGTACGTACACAAAATGCACCTTTTCTTGCATCGAATTTGCTTGCAAATGATGTTCCATTTATTTCCGTAAAAAATCGTCCATTCCTTGCACGTTCTCTTCGGGACATCGATGAACCCGCGAGCATCCGTTGCGAAGTGAGAGCACGAAGGCCGAGAGCAGAACGGTCCATCGTTCTCGGCTTCGCGAGAAGGGTGGGACCACGGATGCGACCACGGGTGGGACCACGGGTGCGACCACGGGTGCGACTACGGGTGCGACTACGGGTGCGACCACAGGTGCGACCAAGTGGTCGCACCGCCTGAAGTACTTTCCATCGCAAAAACTAACGTCTCGTCGTCATTTTACGGGAAAAGGACAGGAAATGAACACATTTCGCGACGAGAATCGCGAGAGGTAGAAAAACGGACGGAACGCTTTGAAGACGAGGGTCCTCTCCTCTGGACCTCGGTGAGAGAGAGAGAGAGAGAGAGAGACTCCTCGAAGTCACACTGATCGTGCCGTCCTCGCATGGCACATTAGATCTACGCTGCCGTTCGGAAGTCGAGCGACACGGGCATTTATGTCATTTACGTTCTTTCGCTTTCGGGATCGATGAGGTAAAATACCCAACGATGGGCCACGGCACATAAAAAATTCAACAGCCGAGCTTCCACGACGCGCCGACCCCCGTCGTGACGTCGGCTGGCAGCATGCGACGACGTACACGCTTCGCAGGTGTTCGTGCCACGAACGCCTGGTCTCTGGAACGTTCTCGTGCCGCGGCGCGTCACCGAATACGCGCCCTCGATGGGCGCATCGTCGGGTGGAACACCCGACATCGTCATCGCGAGGCGCGGGAACGACGAACGCGTGGACGCGGAGCCGTCGACAGATCGTGCCGCATCGACCCGTCGTCGGTCCGCAGATCGCACGCGACGTCTTGCGCTCTTTCGCCGGCGGACGAAAACGGTTCGTCGCCTTCGAAGGAGGCCGTTTCGAACGTCCGCGAACGCGGACGGCGACGCGCGACTTCGGAACGGCATCGAAGATTCGGAAAAGCTTCGCGCGTTCTCTCCACTGCACCCCTTCGATCGTTCGGACGGTGCGAATTACGGCCGGGGTGGAAGAGGAGAAGAGAGGATCGATGCCGTCTCTTCGAAAATGATTCGTACCCGCGTGAGGATATCCACAGAGCCGGTTTATTCGTGTCGTCGACGGGCGTGCTCGGTCTGCGAACGACGCCGGGGTCCACAGTACTTCGCGGACGCGCGAAGACGAAAGATCGAGACGAGAGCAGCCGAGAACATCGAAGGAACATTCGCGAAGGAAAAAATGGCAGGAAAGTGAAGAACGGGATGGACTCGTCGGGTCGACCGACGGACGAGGTCTCATTTCCGTCCGCCGCTTGCCATCCTCCTGAGGACTTCTTCCGCTCGGTGCTCCGTCTGGCTCTGGTGCGCCAACATGTCTGCCAGCTCCATGTTCACTGAAAAGACGACACCACTTCAGCAGGGACTCGTCACCGGCGGTCGCGGCAACTCGTTCGCAGCGACGTCGCGCTCGCGGGCCGGCGATTCGCGTTTCGACTCGTCCTGCCGCTCGCACGCACCGATCCGTCGTCGCGAACGTCGTCCGCATCCGTCGTGCGATTTCTCTCTCGGCGTCGACGAACGCGAGGCGAGGGGATTTTGCGGTGCATCCATCTGCAAGGCGTAGGACGAGCTCGATTTTCGTCGCCGGACGACGAACCCGCGTCGAGTCGAAAGGGGGAGCGATGCACATCCGATTGCCGGTGCATCGTTCCCTTCTTTTGTGCCGGCCGCAGAAGGGGAATCGATCAGAAAGGGGAATTACGGGGGGGGATACGACGCGGGAGTCCCACGGCTTTCTACATCCCCCATCGTCCGCGGCAAAACGATCTGCACATCCGACCCGGCGATTCGTCCCACTCCGGGGCGCTCGGCCGGGTCATGAATAAATCATCACCGGTCTTCATCATGCAATCCATTTTTTCGTTCCTTCGTTCCCCATCGCAGATCGATTTCACGCTCGATCGAGTCGTTTCGAACGTCCAGATTACATCGTTACCGGACGAGAATCCGTCGAGATGAAAACTCACGAAGCCTCTTGTCGACTTTCTGCACGAGTGGACCGGGAGCACGGAGGACGAAGCGGACGAGATGCCAGGCCGGCATCTCGTCGTTCGGGTCCGGTTTCCCCACGTCCCCGGATGCCGAGATCGACGTCGCGTCCGCAGGATCCTCGTACTTCACGTAGGCCGTCTGAGCTCTCCCGACGCCGAACGTCACGAGCAGCAACACGATGACTTTCCCGTTCCGACACCCTGCGATCGATGCCTTCGTTCCTGGGGGAGAGAGACCGATGGACGAGGCTGAGGGTCGTGCGAGCTCGCTTCGACGCGACTCGCGTCGAAGCGAGGATCTTCGTCCCGACGTCGCACGACGCTCTCGCCTCCGCGTGGGCGTACGGAAAGGTCTGACGTCGGCGAGAAGGGGAAGAGATCGGAGTGGGCGAAGGAGGAAAGGGGCCGCGTGCCAAGTCGAGCGGAACGCGATGCGAACTCACAGGGATGACGCGGTAAACAGCCCGAGAAAGGTTGGCAGGTCCTCGGGGACGACCCCAGCTACAGAAGGCGGTAAATTGGAAAAGAAAACTCCGCCTCGAAAACTTTCCCAGATCTCCGTCGTCCGATGAGATTTAAATGCGACGCGTACCGTCCTTTTGGAGCCACCACGACGATTCCTAACGACCGTTCGAAAAACGGTCATCGTACGACCGTACGTTCTGCCGTATGTTCTCCGTGTAGTCGATACGGGGTTTCCTCGTTCCTCGTCGCAAAATCACGGAGACTATACCCACGACGAAGAAAAACCCACGACCGAAAGATCCGTACGTCGTAAATAGAATTCATCGATACGGTGACGCGTGGGAACGAATAGGAGTATGATGGAACGTTCTCGAGCATCTGACACCTCCTCGCACTCGAAGACGCGGGAGTCGTAACCGCTCGTGCACGAATCCGAGTTCGACGTAGCGTCCGAAACGATGCACGTTCCCTCGACGAAATTTCGCGTCGCGTCGCACGACACCGTCGCGAGGCGAACAGAAGCGGAAGCGGGAAAGCCGAAGATGCGGAGACCGTCGGATCGCAAGCGTGCCGTCGTGCGATCGGCAGTCGGTGCATCCGGGACGCATTCGTGCGAACCGGAGTGCCGTCTCGAGGTCGTGGGACCGGTCGAGGTACGAGGTTCGACGCGCGACAGACGACTCACGACCACCCTCGCGCGAAGTCGGATGCATTCGAATCGGACTCCTCGACGGCGTCCGTGGGTCGCAGACGCGAAGCGGTCGCGACACGATCACTACCGGTCGTCGGGCGACCCCTCCTCGACGATTGAGAGCATCCCGGTACCGACAATTCACCGAATCGATTCGAGCTGGGATCGACGACACGCTCGTCCTTCCACGACAGAAGATACACGGTGCACGAATGAAATTCCGAGGGTTCATAAATCCGACGACGTGTTTCTTTTTCGAGAGAGCACACGTAGCAGGTTGAAAAAGTTTCTCGACCCGGAGAACTGTACCCTACGCCCTGAACATATCGCCGGAAGAGACGTCGAGTTTCGCATCTGCTTCATGCGCTTCCTGCATGCGAAGTCTTCGGAACGCGCCTGAGGGCCGCTAAAGTCCACCCCGTGCGATCGAGTATCGAGTGTCGTTTGGCATCTGGCAGCGAACACGTCACGATTCGTTCGGCTTGCGAATGTCAAATGTTACCAAATATGATGGAAAACTCCTGCAGAGATCTTCACACTGTCAAAGGAAGCGTACGGGAACGACGCGAATTTCGAGTCCCAGGTGTTCGAACGATACCGACGTTTCGAGGAGGGGGGGGTATTTTCTCGACGACATAGCACCCGCACACCGGTCGCCGATGGTGACGCGGTTCTTGGCAGACGTGAGAACGACCGTCCTGCCGCTCAGGGACGTAGACAGGGGGGGTGTCTTGGGTGTCTGGACACCCCCCGAAATGAAGCAAGATTCATCAAACAAGGTGGTGGGGGGGTGTGTGAAAAGTTTCACATATACAACTGAAGTTTCGACTTGTACTCCTGTTCCACCTACTGAATACAATCACTCCTGACCAATACAGTGCCGTCCATTTTGCTTCCATAGCTTCTGCTTCCACCAGTTTTTTTAGTTCCTATAGCAAACCACGATTCAGGAGTAGCTCTCACCCACTAAATTATGATTAATTCAAGGTCAGTCTCTGACCCATGCTTCTTTTCGTGCAAAAAAATTTGACACTTTGGGAAGAGAAAGGGCAATTTTGAACCATGAGGTGGGTGGGGTCGAAGTCTCAAAGGGCTTTCGAAGTGTTCCTCATTCCTCCCAACCACTCACCTTCCTCGGCCACTTCATCATCTCATGAGCCTGAAAGAGCCTCACGAGACACACCCCTCGAAAATAATTCCTGGCTACGTCCCTGTGTCGCATACGCCTCACTCGCCTCGTCTCGTTCCGTGCGATTTCGATCCGTTGCCGAGGAAGAAGAATCTTCCGAAAGGAAGACGCTTTTCCGGCGCCGATGAGGTGACGAAAGCTGCGACGGCAGCGCTCGAGGTCGAAACGAATCGGTCGTCCCGTTTCGAAGAACCGTACTGGCGCTGGCAAAAGCGTGCTTCTAGCCAGAGCCACCACCGCGAAGGAAACACCGACTCGATCGCTCCGACCGTGACCGGTGGTGTGAACCGGACCCAGTCGGGTCGCTTCACGAACGGACGAGACCTTCTCTCGATGGCTTCCAGTTCGTTCCGACTCTTTTGAGTCCGCCTCGCATCGTCGCTCCTGCGAGCGAAGCACCGACCGACCGCAAGTGCGAGCGATGTCGCAGACGCAGGCTCGCGTCCGCCACCCTCACGGCGGTGACGATCGATCGATAGGGACTCCCTAGGGATACGGATGGGACGTGGCTTCGGGAAGTAGACGTTTTCGGAAGGCGACCGAGCGTCGAGCGTCGAGATTTCCACGTCTCCGCGTCGAACCGGTTCGGTGGCCGACGACGGCACGACGGCATCTCGCCGAGGAACACGAGCTTTTCACGACTTCCACCGGATCGACCACTCTTATTCCTTCCGCGATTCCACGTCGTGAGCGCCAGTCGTCGAAAAGATGAAAATCCATCAGACGAACATGCGTCTTTCCTTTGTTTTTTTTTTCATTCATCGGATGATACAAAGAGAAAAAAAATCGCCGGAGATTGCAAATGAAGGGCTGAAAGGCAAAGTGGTCTATGTACATAGACCACTTCTCCTTTGTGAACCGGCTGCTCTAATTTGGAAAGGAAAAGTGGTCCATGCGCATGAAACCCTTCTCCTCCCTATGACAATAATGCATAAATGATGGAATATTCGCATTTAAAAGTGGTCTCGCCGCTGTGCTGCATGAATGCATAGAGATGGGCTTGGGGTACTATCTTTTTCTGGGTTGAACAGCTTGGAATGACCAAAAAGCTCATATGGAAACAGTAAGGCTTCTGCTTTAATTTCTACCGCTTCCCTCTCAAACCCTTTACCCAAGAGCCTAAATATTTTATCTTAAACTAGGGATTCTGCATCCAGAATTCATTCTGGCTGGGAGGCGCTTAAAAAACTTTCATAAAAAGATAATGTCATTTCATGTTCTATATATCTGCATGCATCTTATAACCACTGGGAAACTTACTTGCCGCCGTACCTGTCCTGTTCGTACGAACTTGTTTTATGACTTATTTCAATTACGTGGCTATGCTATTATTATTATACTATTATTAGTAGAATCGAATTTAAAAAATGTACGAATTACAGAAATGATAGATTTGGCAGAAAACTGAGTCGAGAAAACTTTTGTACTCATTATGGAATTCCTAAAAGCCATAAATAAATGATTAATCTTGGTGCTGTTTGATAGATTTTTTTTCTCAGTGAAAGAAGAAGGCACTACAAAGGCACTGCGCTTCGAAAGGCGTCATGCTTGTCCAGAGCAGGAATACTACACAGCTCTGCTCATTCAGCCTTTGCTAGTTAATCTATCCCTATAAATAGTCTTCAAGCCAGTAGTCGTAGTTAGCCAAATCAGGAGAATTGGTTGAGTGGTGAAGAAGAGAGAACATGCCCTTTCGATTAAGTAGGACGTCCTCGGCTCTTCCTTGAGAGGGTCAGTATTGTCATGGTGAAGCAGCATCTGTCCTGTTCTCGTTTTTGGTCCCGTTATCTCAAGTTCTCTGAAGACCTTCGCCAAAATTGTTTGATTACGGAATGTAGCTGTGATGATTTTAACAATGAATGTTGAGAATTGAAGGTGGACATCTGACTTAGAAAACAAGATTTCAAAACTTGAGGTCGAAGCTCATCTTTTGAAAGCCAGATCATGTTGGACTTTTATAGGACATATTTTTCACGGTGAAGAAGAATATCTAAAATGTGTCTCCTTTGACATCGGGGTGTCTCTTTAGGCCATCAGCTCTTCAACACTTGTCCTCTTTTTTTTTTTTTTTTACTGTCGGGAGATGAGAGAATCTTCTCGCACACCTGAAATTCTTCAACCTCTGAATGACAAGACTGCGGGGGTCTTCGCAACTGATGCAAAGCTCATTATATAAAATTCTCCAAGTAGTACTAGAATCATAGAAAATGATGGCATAACAGCCATCAATAGTAGCTCTGTTCACAGAAGTCTATGGACGTAAGGATGGGAGTCTCATCATCACAGTTTCTTTTCAAACTATGTAATTTCTTATGCAGCTCGCAACCATATCAAAGGAGGAAATATGATGAACACTGAGGGATCTCCTTTGATTGGTGTCCAAGTTTTCAGTGAGAGAAGGTATAGGAACGAGATCATCCCCTCATCTTTGAATTCCATTGAGAAACTGGCCAGTAGAAAAGGTGTATTCATATACCCATCTGACGGAGCTTAGCTGGATGAAAAAAATTATAAGTCAGAAGTTGAAATGCTCTTGGAGAACCAATATGGATAAGAGAAAAAGGCCTGGCATCAGATGCTACCCGAAAACTATATTTTTAGCTGTATACCTCTTTGATCACCCCTCGCAGATAAAAGTCCGCCTCATATGGAAAGACACACCTATTGAGGGGCTTAAAGAAAACAGGTTCATATGCAAAAGCACCTCAATGCAACAGAAAATGGAAAAATAATGCGCAGGGCCACCAATTTGGTCATGAAAAAATGAAACCTGGTCTTAACCATCAAGGTGGAATTTGACCTTCACAAAGTTTCCAAAATATAACTGTAGGTGTAAGAGTAATGATCAACCATAGATCAAAGTGAACATGACCTACGAGTGTGAACTAAAAGAACTTACATCACTGGAAAAACGTCGCATATTTTTGCATGTATGCCAAAAATCGCAAGATGAAATTTTAATTTTTTAGTGCGGGAAATATCTATCTGCATTCAATTTTTTTTGCCACGAAAATTTCTGGAGTAAGTCAAGCGGATGTCCATGAGGCGGTGCATGTGGATATCGTCATGCACTGCCTCCTCATGCACTGCATATTTTGTCCGGATGTCCAGTACCTCTATCCAAATATCCAGAGGATCTGCATAGGATGCTATTTGCTGCCTGAGGACCTACTTGAAAGGGAGCTGATACTGCCAATAGGTTAGTGCGGTGTTACCATGAAGTCAAGGATAGGTCCATATTATCCCATATTGGCTGGCATAACAAAGTTGACAACACTGCCTGCAAACCGCAAACGGAGGGACTAGCACTTTCCACAAGCGTTCTGGAAGGAACATATTAATATAATAACTTTGAAGCAATGGTTCCTGTATCCAATCTGCTATTGGGAAATATACGCTTAAGTTGCTCAAGCATCATATTTGTTTGAAATGGCATACATATGACGTTCAAAATATCAACGTATCCCAAATTCCTGTGAGAACCGGATTAAGAAACAGGTCTAAACATTTCGACAATTGCATGTACTCTTCGACATAACTACTTTTAAAATTCGCCCAAACTAATTCTTCAGTCTGTTAGGGGATTCGTTTTGAAGGTCCAAATAACCCCAATGGCCATATTCCCCAATATACGCCACCTTTCTCCTTTCACCTTTTCCCCACCTTTCTCTTAAGAAAAGTACCCTGTAGGATTTCTTCAAAATGAAAAAAAAATTCATTACATGCAACACTTCTTAATTTACAGAGCCAGATCCCTAGAATCTTCATTCTCTCCTTCAGTAGCTTTGGATATTGTTTCTTGCAAATAGACCACTTTTCCTTTCAGGCTTTTAGCTACTTACTTCAATGAAAGGAAAAGGGGTCTATGTACGAGGGGCTTTTCAAAAAGTTTGGACACTAAATGACTTTTTTCACAGAGAATGTCTTGAAACGAACAGAAAATATTTTATTGACCATTTTTAACCCACCAGGAAGTAATTCAAGTCCTTTCAACATAATCGCCACGAACTTCAACAAACTTTTTCATTCGGTATATCCAGCGATCAAAGCAGTGCTTGAAATCCTCAGGTTTCAGGGCGGACAGCTGCTCTTGAACTGCTGAAATCAGCTCATCTCGAGTTGAAAACACTTTTCCACGCAGGGGCTCCTTCAGTTTAGGGAATAGCCAGAAGTCACAGGGCGCCAGATCCGGAGAATAGGGAGGTGGGGTCAGCAAATCAATGCCAGAGTCAGCGATGAAGTCAAGAGTCTTTCTGGCAGTGTGAGCAGGTACGTTGTCATGTTGGAGAATGTGGCGGCGCAGCTCCTTCTTGTGGCGACCATTGAGGTTCTTGGCGGGCATGGCCTTTGCTGCATCGCGGAAAGGGTGGCGGTGATGTCAAGCGTCGACTGAAGAAAAAACGGAAAAATTGCGTACATGTCGAAGAGGATTACTTCGAAGGATGTAGGCATCAGAACTGGGACGGAGTCCCACAGCTTCGGAAAAAATTCAGTATCGGAACTTTTAGATCGGACCTTGCACTTTAAATTCGTTAATTTTGAGCGGTATGCATAAATTCTTAAGTATAGGAAAATTGCCCCGTTATCCAGAGTGCGTCGCGATTCAAAGACTCCTTTCCATCCTCGGAAATAAAATCTTCTGGTGCAATCTGATGCAAAATGGTGCAATCTGTAATCTGCAATCAATAATTCTGAAACTGTGCTATGATCTAAATTTTTAAATGGAATGAAAAAAAGGTTTCCCTATTCATCAAGGAGAGGGTACAAAGATGACCATAAGTGCTTGCGGTCTCTCTGAGTCGTATAGCATTGGAATTATCTTACTTCATCAGATCGAATATCTGATGAAAACAGGTTGCAACAAATTTCACCAAGTTGCATCATATTGCATGATCCGAGGCAGCTCTCTTTAACAAAGACGGCAAGGGTTGGGTATTTCCTTCCTTTCCTTGAAATTTGGTCCAGTCTCCAGGGGTGATCGCGACGAGCAGGTCCTTCGCGAGCTACGCTCTCCTTCAATCTTCTCAACCTTGAGGCTGCTCAAGTGAGTCGAAGTCAGGTCTCTTCTCTCCTTTGTCTGTCGCAATAGCTACCGATGGAAATTTTGTGAAGCAGTTCCACCAATCTGTTCCACCGAAGGCTTGTAGGGGTTTCTTTTTCCGCACTCAAAGCGATCGGATCGATTCGCATCGGGGCCACTGGACACGAAACTCAAGTGCCGGCCTTCACGAACTCTTCCGCTCGTATAGAAACGCGACAGGGCTCTTCTCTAACAACTCCAACCCATAACGAGCAGCGTATTTAGACTTGCCAGGACCTATTGCGACCGTAGGCGTGACATGAGATTGCGGAAAAATTATGCCTCAGCATTTCTGGGATAAAGGAATGTATTCTAGCAAAAAGACGGCGAGGTCTAAACGGCTCTCGCTACACTTTGATGAGCGATATTTTTTTCCTTTCTATTTTTTTTTGCACAGGATAGAGCCTATATAGGCGTAGGAAAGGACTGTGGAAGGTATATCCGAAATGACCTATCCTCGCAGCAAAGTGTGTCTTTATCGGAGGAAGTGAGCTTCACGGGTGAAGATAGTAACCATCTCAGACCGGAAGAAA